AAAAAAAAAAAGTTTACGTTTCTTAAAATACATGTGTAGTCCTTAGTTTTGTCATTTGAGTGTGTTTTGGTTTTATATTTCAGTCCAGTTCTCTCTACGTGGAAAGTTTCTCTACTCTTGTCCCAAACAGTACTCACATCCCAATCATCTGTGCTACAGTAGCAAACAGACGGAGGATCCCAATCTCGAGATTCATACCACCCCTCCATTGAGAGTGCCCAGAGCTGATTGCCCTTTCACAGGATTTGCTGAAACAGAAACTAATGCTCACCATCTCCTTCTGTTTCCGTCTGCTTCTGTCCCCTCACCAGGGCGGTCAAGGGGCTCACTCTGCCCAGGGGGACACCCTTGGAGCCCACGTCCATACAGATAGTCATGTGCATAACTCTTGCCTTGGAAAAATAGGCCTTATTTGCTTCTAACCGTGTTTTTCCAAATCCCTCTAACACCCTAAAAACCTCCTGCTTGATTAGCAGTGGATATATCCTTTGTTCTCTCTGGGACTGTTTGGTTTCCCCGTGAGAAGCATATGTCTAGTGTGTCTGCTGTTTTTGTGTGTTTCCTTACATCCCAGGTGGAGCCAGGTCCCTTTGACTCATAAGGTAGTTTACCAAAAGTTCCAAAATTCTGAGGATAAACGAAATGATATATTTGGAAATTAAAACAGATCATTTAAAATTTATCTTCAGGGCCGAAGGGTGACAGGAAGTTAGGGATTAATAACGACATGAGGGTATTATGTGCTCTTAGAGAATCATAGTCACAAATTCAGACCTGGAATTGTCGTAGAAAGGTGAAGGCATCCAGACTGTTGTTTGTATTAGTGCCTTTACAGTTACTTTACAGATGATCTTTACCTCCTGCGGTCTGTCATGTACAGAATTAATACAGCCTTTCCTCAATCTGTTGTTCAGGAGACCAATAAAATGGAAAGATGATGATACTTCAGTACAAGTTACCGAACTCAAAGATGTTTTCCTTAAAATTTGACTTTGAAATCCAGCATGCTTGTGGCTTGACTATACATGTTAAATTTCCTAAAGAAGCAGTACTTTAAGCTGAAAAGGGCTGCATGTACTTTGTGAAAATATATTTTCATCTGCATTTTGCTTACCTTTTCTGCTTAATTATTTGTTAGTATGATTCCTTTAAATTTTTGAGTAGCTTTTAGCAGCTATTAAAGTATAATACTTTACTATGTGAAAATTTTTATTTTTTTAAATATATAATTGTTTATTTTTACATCACTGTGTGCATTTTTTCATCTCCCCCTGGACTTCCCATCACCAAATCACCCTGCCATCACCAAAGTCCAGTGCATTTCCCTCCTCCCACTGTTTTTGATCCCATTCCCTACTCCACCCCCATAAAATGGCTGGTCTATAGCTGTTCATTATTATTATTATTATTT